CACTCGGAACTCTGGACAGGTGTTCACCTCACTCACAAGTGTGTGGACGTAATCCATCCACCAAGACCATGCCGGTGAACGAAAGCTGCACGTCGAAGGAAGGAAGGCTGGCTTTGACGCTGCAGAGCCAACGAAAACGAAACTGTGTGCCTCTCTCGAGTGTCCTTGCCTTCACGTTGCTTGCACATGGCGGAAGTGTGTTCGCTCCTCAAGTTTTCTTCTTTGTTGAACCATTAGGGACGCGTGTACTCGTCGGGACTTCGTCGCGACAGTCCAGCCACCCCTCGCGTTCGCTTCGCTCACGTAAACAAGCACAACGCCAGCGTACTTCCCCGATTCGCTAAAAACAACCATCCGACTCTCGCGTAGCATTGTCACTTGCGTATTTTGTGTCTTTTACCATCCAAACCAGATGGCGCTGCGCAGTTAACGGCTCGAAAACCGGAGCCTTGCTTTAGGTTCGTTAGATGACGCTACTATTCATTCATTTGTTTCTAATTTTTTTTTTTTTTTTAGTTTTTACTTTTTGTTTAAATTAATTGATTTGATTTTACATTACGTCGTCTCGTCATATAAACAGCAAATATTTAAACAATTTAGGCGCGCCTCCGCATCTATTTGGGCGCCGACCACCTGGCGGCGCTACTTATTTTCCAAATTCTGTTTACAAAGTATGACGGCGTTTTCATCTATCTAGCGGTCTCCTACATTTTTTTTTATTATTATTTTTTTTTTGCTTTTGTTTTGCGTTGTTCCTGCGGAGTGATAGTTCTTGGTGAGCTCGGACGCTTTCCAACGCGTTAAGATTCTGGAGTGCAAACTTGTAAGAAACCTTTGCAACCGTGAGTAGTATGCAGTCGGCGCTGCTTGCACGCGATGTATTTTCGACGCGTTTTGTCCGTCTTATTGCCCGCGTGCGTTGGCGTACCTGGTTTCTGAAAGTGTGCGCGTCTCCCACGTGCATCTTAAACCATGCGTGGTCATTGCATGTTTTCGCTTGAGGAGATATCAATTTCCACCAGTGAGTAGTGTTCATTCGCCGCCGCTTCATCGCGATGTGCTTTTGACGTCTTTTTGCTTCTCTGTGCCGCCCGCCCTCCGTGCTTTCCGAAGGTGAGCGCATGGTTTCGCTTTGCAGTGCGCGCTCTGCAGCGTGGTGTTGTGGCGTGGTTCCGGTGAAAGTGCCTGTGGGTGACCTCGCGTGCGTCCGTAATTCCCTGCCTTCGGCCTACTCAGCGTGGACGTCATTTCTGTCCTGTGACCTGCTGCTCACTGCTCAGTGCTCAGTGCTGTGCTTGTGCAAGGCCTCTGGTGTGGGTGCCGTGTCCTACGTATCGCCCAACTAGGTTCTACTTGTGCCCCTTATTAATTCATTAATATGTGTCGTGTGTGTGTGTGCTCTTTGAGCAGTTTCCGTTCTTGTGCCGTCCGTCCAGTGAAAGGATTTTTTTATTTTTTTTTATTAAGTTACGGCGCTTGTTTTCGTGCAGCTCTACGTGGTCGTGTCCTCGTACGCAGTGGTGTGTTTGTGGAAAGTCTCTCGTGTTGTGTTGTGCAGTGCAGTGCAGTGCAGTGCAGTGCAGTGCTGTGCGTGCGCCAAAGCCTCTGGATAAAAGAAAAAAAAAATATATATATATATATAAATACACATTTTTTTTCTAATTTTTTTTTTTAATTAATTTTACATGTGGTAAGTATGCATGACTTATACCATCCTTTGTATTGATTTATTTGGGTCGTGTCTTTTTTTTCCACATTGTTAGCCTTCTTGTTCTCCTCCTCCTCCTCCTGCTTATCATTATTGTAGAAATGTTTTCCTTTTTCTTTTTTTCCTCTTTCATTCTAAGCTTTTAGTTTCCACCAGAGTGTCGAACCGAATTTTTTATTGGTTTGCTTCGATTTGCGGGAGCACAAAAGTAATGTAGGACATTAAAATAGCACAACAAATAGAAGAACAAGAGGTATACAGGACAGGCGCTGATGTTGAACTAGTTTCATTCAGGAAAAGTGAACATGTATATACACACGAGAGGCAAAGCAGCACATATTCTTAAGAGTAGAAGATATTTGAGCTGGGATGCTGGTGTCTCCCAGCACGATCAAACCATCCGGGGCTATTGCCGCCTTCTCGGCTGCCCTCGGCACTTATCGTGAATAAAAGCTATATATGTATGTTTACTTTTCCTGGATAAAACTAGTTGAAAGTGAGTGCCTGTCCTGTATACTCCTTGTCCTCGTCTTTTTTGCGCTATTTTATATATTTTACTAAGATAAACCAACAGCGTACCGTATTAAAAAGAAAAAGAAGCTAAAGTGATATTATATTTACCTGGTGCTTCTTTTCGTAATAGGCACTATTTCAAGAGTGCAAACGGGTATCTTTCCATTCATTTGTAGGGTTCGCTTATTTTCAGGTGCCGAGAAATAAATTGCTTTATTTAAATTTGATGGAGCAGTAAATGACAAGCTTTATACATATCTGTCTTTCCTTGTTTTTTTTTGTGTTATATTTTAGCCTGAATTTAAAAGTTATCAGTCTGTTGGGTCGCCTAAAATACAGGTGATTGGCATTTGAGGTTTTTTTTCTTTACAAGATAATGGTTGATTCAATTTAGCAAGCAAGCATCA